TTTAATTTTTTAATAAAGAAAACTATTTTACAATAGTTTTAAAATGACTGCTTGGATTGTTATCAAAAAGCTTTCCTAAAGCTTGCCTACAAATACCCCTGGATGCACAGTAGGCTGCAGACTTTGTGTATACCGATTTCTGGTGGCAATTGTACAGATTCATATGTATATAGACATACATCAACATTTGTATATACCGAGCAAAAAAAAAATATTTCAAACGAGCTTTTTTGTCAGAGCTTTTTAATAAAATGTTTAAAACCAAGCATGCAATTACGCATAAATATTTTTACTTTATAAATTAAGAAAATACTGTGTTGTACTGTTAATATTTTAATCAAAGTTTTTTAAAAGCTCTTTATGTAAAATTTTAGATAATTTTGGAGCATTAGAAGATTCTAACTAATCGTTTTTCCCTAGACTTGTATATTAATATAACAAAGTCAAACAACGCTTTAGGTGTACAGCGCTAAAGCTTTAAGCTTTTAGCGTAGGCTTTCGAGTAGATAATAAATTTTATTTTTATGTGTAATTGGAGTCTGCGCCAAGTTTTTTAACAAAGTAGTTAAATTAGGATTATGTTTTATAAAAAGACTAAATAAAACGCCCTTGAAGCTTTTGTAACAAGCTTTCGTATATTATTTATTTCATAAGCCTAGCTTGCAATAATTTTTAGGCTTATAAAATGCTATCAAGAAACCTTATAATAACTTGTATGACTTATAAAAGTTCCAATGAAGGAGTTGAAGTAGCTTTTAGCGAGCTTTAATTTTTTTCTACTGACCGTTTTCGATATTTTTAAGTGAAGTTTTTCTATGATGACATTATATATAAAAGTTCTAAAGACGATAGCGTGCTTGTCAAAGCTTTTAGCGAGTTTTATCATAAAACATAATTCCGCCACTGAGATTTCTGAGTGGTGCGAGCTTTCATGAGTTTTCGTGAGATTTTTATACAATGGTTTCCACCACAAGAACAAAAAGAGATTGAGCTTTTAAATTCTGTTTTTATAAATTAAAATGAGGACAAATAGTAGTGGAAGCTTGCGTGAGCTTTTGACAAAATGTTGATAATTATTAGAAATGTTTTTCGCTTATAATCCACCGACCATCTACAAAGCCGAAATATAAATAAATATACGTTTCCTGGTAAACTGAATGGTTTCGACACTCAGCAACATAAATAAAAATTATACTAATTATAACATCCCCGAGGGATGGAAAGAAGCTTTTTAACCGGATAAATTTCTGACAACTGACACAATTATTTCATTCAAAAGGAACTAATTTCAACACTCGCTTTTGTAAGCCAAATTATGCTAAATTTTAACATTTCTCAAGTAAATACTTAATATTAACATCCCTGAAATCTATACTGTGCATTATTGTCTACTGTGTTTATGCAGATTTCTTCACTACAACTCTCAATTGAAATGTCAGCTATCTGCCGTACTGTCATTGACTCTAAGCTGCCGCTATCACTGTTAGCAGACAGCTGGCTGCTGACTACCGCTCTGGTAAAAAGTAAGCGTTCAACACCCAGGGCGCACCCAGGCGACATGTGTCTCAAGTGCTACAGCAATCACGTCTCTGTCACTTGGCAGAAGTGTTCGCAATCGATGGAATTCCATATACATATGTATTTACGACAATACATTTTCGTTTTTTCATTTTCATGTGAGAAAGTAGTCATAATAAAAATGACAAATGCGCCACTGAGCTAATCGCTATTGAAAGCCATATTTGCACCCACTCTGTCGTGCTTCAGCTGGCTGTCGGTGTCTTCAAAATGCAAATTAATTGCTGACAAACTTTTTTGCCTTTTCCAAGAGTCACCGTAGTCTAGTCGCCTTGCCAGCGCCCTAGCGGGCTAGCTGCCTGTGCGCTTTCTGCTGCACACACGCGCCACACAAACCCTCGTACTCATATATAGATATGTGATAGTAAATTATGCCAACACACTCATATATCGTACGGTAAACATTGACTGTCTGAGCATTCGCATATTTCAGGCGCCCAAGTAGCGCTGTATCGGCGTCTTGTCTTCATACATGGCGTATGAGTATTTAGCATTTTCTACATATAATATCTATATGTATATGAGAACATATAGGGATATAAATAAAACTCTGTTTACATAAGCGCTGGTTTTGGTAAACAAAGCGATATGCAGGTATCTTCACAGTACATATTTTTGACAGTTTAGAAAAAAGTAGTTGTCGGCGTGGCACTCGCGCGGAGCTTTTACATATTGCCACGTTGAGTAAATAAATTAAGTTTTGAGAAAAGAAAACAACGTAAACTACAAAACTAAAACAATATGAAACTGTAAAGATGGCTAAACAAAAGTGAAAAAATATTTCTGAAAGCTTTCATCAATGTAAAAGCGCACTAAAGCTTAAATTAAAATAAGGTATTTCGAAATTTTCAATTCTGCTCAAAAGCAATTGCTGGTATCTAAAAATACTGCTCAATACTCCATAATTTAAAAAAAATATTACGATAATTTTGGCCTTCTTAAAAAGATATGATATTTACCACAAAAGGTACTTGTCACAGCTAAACTTTGGTTCAGTTAATAGAATTTTGGTTTGTGTCTCGACTAAATTCAAGTCGGACACCATAAAAATAAAAAAAATTTTAAAAGTTTAATTAAATTAGAATTAAAAATCTCTTAGAATCCGCTCCCGTTAGAATCCTTTTTAACAACGTGAGGTTCAAATTATACAAAAATGCCTAAATTTCGGCTTCCGAGTTAGCTAGTTGCTAGAGCTCTACTTAAAATGTATGAATGTTTCGCAGAAACATAATGTCAAAAGTTTAGGTAATGATACATAAAGATTTTTTTAACCATTCAACATTTTTCTGTTTCGAAACTGTATGATTCGAAATAATTTAAGTATTTATATTCGGTGCTTCCGTGGGCATATTCCTATTCCGTGACTTCAATATTTCAGAACCTGACAATATTAGAGAATATTAATGAAGGGAATAAATTTAATATTTTGAATGGATTTAATTTTTTCGTCAGTTTAAAAAATATTCATGCTTTTCAATATAATCTTTACTACCATAGAGACCAAAAAAGTGACGAAAATAAGCTTCTAATTTGCATCTATTAATTGTTAGCAAGATTGAAAATTTACGTTTTATACTAAAGCTTTTAAAGAAATTTATTGTAGATGTGTATAAGAGACAGATTTAATGTTTATTTATCAGTAATATTTTTTATATTTTTTAACGTTTATAACATTTATTTTCTGAAGATTTTAAGCATATTGCTTTTATGCTTAAAAAATTTTTAAAATTTATTTTTTCATTTGTGAAGAATAAAAAGCATTAATTTCAAATATTTATGATATATTTTCTCAAAGTTTCATAAAACAAATCATAAAGATAAGTAAAACAAAAATGGTTTGGAATGACTTGCAAAGAAAAGCCTTTAAAAGACACACAATGCCTTCAACATTAATTTAAGCAAAATGTATGTCTTTTGTTTTGTAAAAAAGAGTCTAGAACATGCCATGTAAGCACACA